GGCCGCCTGGCTGATTTTTATATCTTTATAGTAGAGATAGGGTTTTGCCATGTTGGCCAGGCTGGTCTTGAACTCCTGACCTCAAGTGATGTGCCAGCCTCAGCCTCCCAAAGTGCTGGAATTACAGGCATGAGCTGCTGTGCCTGGCCCATTTAACTATTTAAAAGTCACTTGCAGGTTATGCGGAGTCATAAAATTAGGTTGGGATCAATGTTTTCTCTTATTTGGCTTTGATTTTCCCCAGAGCCCTATACCTTTTAACTTTTTTTGTTTTTTGAGACGGAGTCACCTAGGCTGGAGTGCAGGGATTTGATATTGGCTCACTGCAACCTCTGCCTCCTGGGCTCAAGCGATTATCCTGCCTCAGCCTCCAGAATAGCAGGGATTACAGGCACCTGCTACCACTCCTGGCTAATTTTTGTATTTTCAGTAGAGACTGGATTTCTCCATGACGGCCAGGCTGGTCTCAAACTCCTGACCTCTGGTGATCTGCCCACCTTGGCCTCCCAAAGTGCTGGGATTACAGGCATGAGTCACCATGCCCGGCTTCATTGAAAATTTATTTTTCAATACCAGGCTGCAGTATTCTTTGGGAAAGAGACATTCTGTCAGTGTGCTTTTTTTCAAAGTATTTTTTTAATTCATAGAATATTTAATTTTTTTGATACATTTGTAAATATATACAGTTTGTTTCAATAGTATTTAAGAGTCCTTAATACTTTCTTACAGAGAAGAAGAAGTTGGATGGGATACAGAGATTAAGGATGATGTGATTGAAGAATGTAATAAACATGGAGGAGTTATTCATATTTATGTTGACAAAAATTCAGCTCAGGTATTTTCATCTTTATAAATGATGTTAGGTTGTTTGTCTCTACTTAATCTTCACACATGTGGTGCATGCTATGGTCACTGTCTTCCATTATAGTTTTTGTGTGTGTGTACCTGAAAGTAGCTTTAATATAGTGGCTAAATAAACCCTTCCAAAATAAAAGAAAATCAGTAACAGTTTGATCAGGGTATGAGAGGAGTTTCTAGTAATGCTCAAAGCTTGCTGTGAAATCTTGGCATCTTGATTCATTCTTAGGCTGCATATAAATCATAGAGAAAAGATAAAACAGGGCAAGTTTGGGAGCATAAGTCATTTTTCAATAAAATTCTGCGTATACTTACTAGCCAGTGGAACAATTATGGTAAACCATTTTGTGGTTATAGAGCACTAAGTTTCTACAGGCAACTTGAATAAACTTAACTTGGGTCTATTTTGTATACAGCAACATCTTTACCTTTTTTTCATTTTTTTCTGTGTTTTAGGGCAATGTGTATGTGAAGTGCCCATCAATTGCTGCAGCTATTGCTGCTGTCAATGCATTGCATGGCAGGTGGTTTGCTGGTGAGTTTGAATTTATTTTTTTTATTCATTGTTATTAGGACTCTAAAATGAAGACGTTAAACCCAACATGTCTGTTTCTTTCAATAGGTAAAATGATAACAGCAGCGTATGTACCTCTTCCAACTTACCACAACCTGTTTCCTGATTCTATGACAGCAACACAACTACTGGTTCCAAGTAGACGATGAAGGAAGATATAGTCCCTTATGTATATAGCTTTTTTTCTTTCTTGAGAATTCATCTTGAGTTATCTTTTATTTAGATAAAAATAAAGAGGCAAGGATCTACTGTCATTTGTATACAATTTCCTGTTACCTTGAAAAAATAAAAATGTTAACAGGAATGCAGTGTGCTCATTCTCCCTAAATAGTAAATCCCACTGTATACAAAACTGTTCTCTTGTTCTGCCTTTTAAAATGTTCATGTAGAAAATTAATGAACTATAGGAATAGCTCTAGGAGAACAAATGTGCTTTCTGTAAAAAGGCAGACCAGGGATGTAATGTTTTTACTGTTTCAGAAGCCTAACTTTTTACACAGCAGTTACATTTCACATTTCACTAATGTTGATATTTGGCTGATGGTTGAGCAGGTTTCTGAAATACACATCTAGTGTATGGAAATACAAGACAGCTAAAGGGCTGTTTGGTAGCATCTCATTTTGCATTCTGATTAATTGCCAAGAAAGGGAGATTTCAAAATTACAATATTTCTTGATGGTATCTTTTCAATTAATGTATCTGTAAAAGTTTCTTTGTAAATACTATGTGTTCTGGTGTGTCTTAAAATTCCAAACAAAATGATCCCTGCATTTCCTGAAGATGTTTAGTGAGAGTCTGGTAAGCAAAGCAGTCTGAGAAAGAAATAGGAAATGCAGAAATAGGTTTTGTCTGGTTGCATATAATCTTTGCTCTTTTTAAGCTCTGTGAGCTCTGAAATATATTTTTGGGTTACTTCAGTGTGTTTGACAAGACAGCTTGATATTTCTATCAAACAAATGACTTTCATATTGCAACAATCTTTGTAAGAACCACTCAAATAAAAGTCTCTTAAAAAGGCCACAAGAAATCTTCATTTTTCAAATGTTTTAAAGTTACAGAAATTTGAGAATAGAGTATTAGGTTCTTTTAGTTGCAATTCATTACTTGCCATTTGGGAAAATGTGCCAAGTCTGCGGAAACTTGCCCTCACGTTGCCCCCCATGAATTCCTTTATGCCATTATAGTTTAGCCCTGTGTATTTTAGAAGAATGTATCAAAACTGAGGGGTTTACAAAAAAGAAAAGCCAACAGCCGGGCCTTAAAACCTGGGCATTCTTGGTCTCCTGCATTGGGCGTATTTGTGAAGAAAAGTTTCACCATTTACAATACATACTTAACAAAATGGCTTAACTTCAAACTGGTTTCCCAAATTGATATATCTGCATATATTACTGCATTAAGGAGTTTTCAGCTTTCATACTAGGTGGAAAGTAAGCCATCACCATTTATACTCAATTCTTTTCAACTGTTTGTATCCTGGTAAATCTTATGAGTAGGCAATGCTGCTCCTAATTTACCTTCAAATACTGATTTCCTTACCTCATTTGTTCAACTTTTTTTTTTTTTGTTGGCATTGAAGCACAAGTTTTACAGACTTAAGTTTATTTAAAGAGCTTGAGTTTGGGGGAGCATCAGAATTTCATACGAGTCATTTTGTTTGACATTCCATTGTTTTGGTGATTTAATTTGAATGGAAACTCCCAAAGTTCAATTTCCTTTTGAGACGGAGTCTTCCTCTTTGGCCCAGGTTGGAGTGCAGTGATGTGATCTCGGCTCCATCTCCCAGGTTCAAGCAATTCTCCCGCCTCAGTCGCCTGAATAGCTGGGACAGGTGTGCACCATTGTGCCCAGCTAATTTTTGTATTTTTAGCAGAGAGTTTTTGCCATGTTAGCCAGGCTGGTCTCAAGCTGATCTCAAGTGATCCACCTGTCCTGGCCTCCCAAAGTGCTGGGATTACAGGCATGAGCCACCGTGCATGGCCTCATTGAAAATTTCTCAATACTAGACCGCAGTGTTCTTTGGGGCAGAGACATTCTGTCAGTGTGCTCTTTTTCCAAAGTATCCCCTGCTATCAATTTTTTCCTTGAACCAAGTCTTGACAGGAAACAAATCTGCTGTGTCATTGCTTTCTAGAGAACCAGACCAGCAAACATGGCCTTTAGTGGTTAATCTCATCTATGCCAAAATTTAGTCACTACCACAGAATGAAATTTGGTGTTTAAATAACGTTCAGAGGAAATGTGGTTGGAGTGTAGTAACTTGAATAGTGTTGTGCATGGAAAGCAGGTCATTTTGGGTGAAACTTGATGTCCAGTCAGTTCCTGAGTCAGCATCCCACTGGTTTGAAAATCTGTAGCTAATCTGGTAATGTCCTTAATTTCATCCTGCCTGTCAGTATTCCAAAGTGTTCATTTAGTTTCTTTTATCTTTATAATAACAATGACTACCATCTTTGAAAGTTCTGTTTAAGAAATGCTTAATGGGCAATGCAGGTTAGTAACTCCAAGGTCTGCGTGGCCTAGGCAGGTGAGATGGACAGTTGCCTCACTACAGAAGCTTTTCATCATCAAACTCTAGTAAGTTTTGTGGATGGCAAGCTATAGAGATGGTTGATGACTGGTTAGAAAATCATCTGGAATTTAGCCAGTTGAGAAGCTACAGAAGTGGCTGGTGTTTCTAATTTTTTTCACAGTGGAAAAATTGTTTTGCTTTTTCTGATAAAGCCACTAAGTATATCTAAAGAACAACTTCGAGCTGGACATGGTGCCTTAGGCCTGTAATCCCAACACTGGGAGACGGAGGCGGGTGGATCACAAGGTCAAGAGTTCGAGACCAGCCTGGCCAACACAATGAAACCCCATCTTTACTAAGAATACAAATTTTTTTGTTTTGAGATGGACTCTCGCTCTGTCTCTCAGGCTGGAGTGCAGTGGCTCGATCACAGCTCCCTGCAACCTCTACCCTCCTGGGTTCAAGCGATTTTCCTGCCTCAGCCTCCCGAGTAGCTGGGACTACAGACATGTGCCACCACACCCGGCTAAGTTTTTGTATTTTTAGTAGAGATGGAGTGTCACCGTGTTAGCCTGGATGGTCTCCATCTCCTGACCTTGTGATCCACCCGCCTCGGCCCCCCAAAGTGCTGGGATTACAGGTGTGAGCCACCGCACCCGGCCTAAGAATACAAAATGTAGCTGGGCATGGTGGCATGTGCCTGTTATCACAGCTACTCAGGAGGCTGAGGGAGGAGAATCGCTTGAATGCAGGAGGCAGAAGTTGCGGTGAGCTGAGATCATGGCACTGCACTCCAGCCTGGGCGACCAAGCAACCAACCAACCTCAGGATGAACAATGCTTTGGAAATAATGCAATGTGTGACCTTGAGGAAATTTTGGCTTATAAATCCGTTTTTTAAAGTAGTTTTTCTCCTTTAAAATGGTGATCGTGGTAAGAAGCACAGAGTTGTACTGAGTAATTAGTTGACTAGTATCTATGGAAAGTACTAGACACTCCCAAGTTTTCCAATTCTGGATTAAGAGAGGCAGGCCTTATGAAAGAGAGAACACTGACTACTCAAAGACTTTCTTTTATTAGTACGTGGGCTGGGATGGATGGGAAGGGATAGATGTAGTGGGCAACCATGGTTAGCATCGGATGCCCATCCCAATGGCCATGAATGTGCCAAACGTGCCGCCACTCTGCATCATGGTTTTCCCAATGCCGCCCATCAGCTCTCGACCCCGCATTCCGATCCTGAGGAGGAAACCAAGATGGGGCTATTTGGTAACAAAAATACCAGAAAGAGTATTAACTGCTCCTTTCCAATTTTTTGCTAACACTAGTCTAGCAACCCCTACATCTCATTTTCCACTTACTGGATATTACCTCTTACTACCTGGGGTTGGTAATGGGAAGGAAAAAGATCCATTTGGGTCTCCAGGGAATTCTGGTGGATGTCGTATTAACTGCCTTCAGTTTGTGGAAGGCAGCAGATGCAGTGTAAAATACATAGGCAGAGAAACCAGTTTTTTGGACTGGTGTTGCCTGCAGGTTAAATAAGACCCAATAAAGACATCTATCTTTTAGTTTCTTGTTAATGATTTTGGAGTAAGGTTGGGGTTCAAGAGCCACCTCTGCAATTTACACGTAGTGTGAAGTGTAAAATGGGCATCTCATTATTTACAGGATTTTGAAAACTACAGGATTTAGCACAGTGCTTAACATAGAGTATGTGCTCGGTAAATGGTAATTTACAATCTGGAGATAGAGCAATAACAGCTCCTAAATGTGAAAATGACTGTCAGAGTGTAAAGTTTGACTGCTTTATCTCTGTTGTATCCTGTATCCAGAATAGTAAAACCGCTGAACAAGTTTCTTTCCTCATGCGCAATTGGAAATAAAAATAAAAGCAACAGTAGTAACCAGTTACTGAGCACTTAATATGTGCCAGATTCTGTGCAAAGTGTGCTGATCGAATTTTTAGAACTCTATAAGGTAGACGCTGTCTTCACTCTACACTTAAGGAAACCCAGTCTCCAACTTGCCTAAAGTCACCGAACCAGTAAGAAAAGGGCCAGAAAGCAGTTTGACTCTAAAGCTCAAATTCTTAAGCATTGACCCTTCCAACCTGACCTTTCAGATTGAAGGTGGTTTGGAATGAGTCTGGCTCGCGATGGGACAGCGAGGGAAGTCTAAAGGATTAGGAGGCTGTGTTCAGGCTCCAGGCCGAATGGGGTAGGGCCGGAAGATCTGGTTGTCCTACCCAGAGATCACCGCCCGCGCCCCTCACCTGAGACAGGAAAAGGTGCCGAAGAGCGCCCCGGCCGCCATGCCCACGGCGCAACCCATCACGAAGCCCATCTTGACGCGGTCGAAGCAGCTTGGCTGGGACTGTCCGTAGGGACCCACGGCCACCGGCATCTGCGGGGGATAGGAAAGTGTGGGCCCAGGCGCTGGCCCAAGAGTCGGGCGGGGACGGAGGCGGCAGGCGGGAAGTGGGCCCAAGGGCTCGGGGGAAGTCAGGGAAGGAAAATCCATGGGTAGCCCGACTCCAACACCCTCTTCGCGTTCCGGCCCCGCGTCGCCCTGCGCCTACCTCACCCAGCTCGCGGCCTCGGTCGCTCAGCTCTACGTCTCTCCCGGAAAACGACGGGGAGGGCGCTCGAGGCCCGAAGAATCGCTTCCGGATCGCGGGGAAGCACTTCCGGGAGCCTGGGGCCCAGGACCGCAGCCGCTTCGGAAGGTGGGCTCTGCCAGCGGGACCATGCTGCTCCGAGCCGCTTGGAGGCGGGCGGCAGTGGCGGTGACAGCGGCTCCAGGGCCGAAGCCCGCGGCGCCCACTCGGGGGCTGCGCCTGCGCGGTACGCTCGGGTCCCGCTCTCCGGGAGGTGCGGACCTGTCCCCTCCGCGCGGCGACGCAACTGAATATTCCGGAGCCTTCCTGTCCACCCTGCTGCCCAGACTCTCTGACCCTTTCTCTCAAACGACACATCCCTCAGACTTTCTTAGGCGGGTCCCCGAACGGTTGACTCCGGCGCACCACCCCTCGCACCCTGCGCGACAGGCCCCCAGAGCCGTGGAGGCGCGTCCTTCAGACCGCTCCTGGCCAAGTTACAGATGCTGCTCTGGGCTCCCGTGCAGACCGTTAGCTTCGGTCAGAAGGGGCTGCACCTACTCTGGCTCCACGTTCCTTCTATATGGCTTGGCCCTTTACAGTCTTCCTCCCTAGGAGGCTATTTGAATATCACCTCAACAGCCCCTCCAGGAACCCTCTCTCCCTCTCCTTTACCTCCTTTTACAGCGTGTCAGGTATCTTCTGCTGTTTTCTTTCCATTGAGATTCGACCCCAGCATCCCTTACACTTATCTCACCCCCAGCCAGATTTTTCCTTCTGCCCTTTGGATGCCATGCGTTCATAGTTGCCTTCGGTCTTACTTGGCCACTGCATTCCATTTTTTGTCAGTTGGAGATCATGCTCCTCAGTCTGCTGTTCCCGCAGATACAACCGTTGCCCCGGAGGCGGGGCCAGTGCTGCGACCTCTCTATATGGATGTACAAGCTACAACTCCTCTGGTAAGGATGGAGCTTTTCCCAAGGCTGTTTATTAGAAAGTAAATGATGGGCGTGACCACGCAAAGCAATGGCTGAATCCGTGGAGAAGTGAGAGCCATGAAGGTGTGCTGGAAAAAGCACTGAGCCAGGAGTCAGGAGGCTTAAATTTGAGGCCACTGGCAGTGGCTTTACTACTCACCAGCGATTGACCTTGGTCAAATCACTTCAGCGCAGGCTCTATCGTAGTAGTTGAAAGCATGGGCTCTGGAATGAGCAGAACCACCACTTAGTAACTGTGTGAACTTGGACAAGTTTTAAATGGGTTAAAAGACTAATGCAAGTTTTCACCAGTGTGTGACAAGGGGTATTTGCCTAGGCCCTGTCCTGTCCCAGCCCCTTGTAGATCACATTGCCTGGCGGGAATGGAAACACCAGCAGAAACAGATGTCGGAACAAGGCAGTGTTTGTAGACTACCTGAGGGGAGGCAGAACGATCTGAGTTGGGATGGGTTGTGAGTGGGAGTGTATTAGGTTGATAGTTGGTGGGTAGTTTTGTGGGAACAAAAGAATGTTTGAGGCCTCCTCTAGGCAGTGCCTGAGGGGTTCAGAGTGTCTTGAGGCAGGGTGGGCAGGTCTGAGGGGTGGAGTGGGACCTGAATTGACTATGGTCTCAAGGAAAATGATCTGTTCTGTTGTGCTCAGGACCCCCGGGTGCTTGATGCCATGCTCCCTTACCTAATCAACTACTATGGGAACCCACACTCCCGGACACATGCATATGGCTGGGAGAGTGAGGCAGCCATGGAACGTGCTCGCCAGGTTAGTACACAGGAGTCTAGGAAGTTCTAAGGTCAGACGGGGCAGTGGCCTGTGGGAGGCATTTCCTTCTTGGTAGGTGTGCATGGATGTAGAAGTGGTTTTGGATTCTTTCTGGAAGAGATTCAGAGAGCAGCCTTGGCGTTTGACTGCAGGCATTTGATTAGTTCCCATATTTCCTGGCTAAATGACTTGGGCAAGTTATCTAATTTCTCTAAGCCTTATTTTCCTCACATTTAAAATAGAGATTCTACTCTGTAGGGTTACTGGGTGGGTTAAATAAGACCATGTTGGTAAAGTGTTTATTAACACAACACCGATAAGTAAGAAGTACTATAAGTAGTAAGAGCTTAATAGTTCTTTTTTTTTTTTTTTTTTAAGAGGTGGAGTTTTCACATGTGTTGCCCAGGTTGTAGTGCAGTGGTGCACAATCTTGGCTCACTGCAACCTCTGCCTCCCAGGTTCAAGTGATTCTCCTGCCTCAGCCTCCCAAGTAATAGGTATTACAGGCACACGCCACCACGCCTAGCTAATATTTTTGTATTTTTATTTATTTATTTATTTATTATTATTATTTTTTGAGATAGAGTTTTGCTCTTGTTGCCCAGGCTGCAGTGCAGTGGCACAATCTTGGCTCACTGCAACCTCCGCCTCCCAGGTTCAAGCAGTTCTCCTACCTCAGCCTCCCAACTAGCTGGGATTACAGGCGTGCGCCACTACACCTGGGGAATTTTGTATTTTTAGTAGAGATGGGGTTTCTCCCTGTTGGTCAGGCTGATCTTGAACTCCTGACCTCAGGTGATCCACCCATCTCGGCCTCCCAGAGTGCTGGGATTACAAGCGTGAGCCACCGTGCCTGGCCTAATATTTTTGTGTTCTTAGTAGAAACGGAGTTTCACCATGTTGACCAGGTTGGTCTCGAACTCCTGACCTCAGGTGATCTTTCCACCTTGGCTTCCCAAAGTGCTGGGGTTACAGGGGTGACCCACCACACCTGGCCAATAGTTAATTAAAAAAAAAAAATTATTAGTTTGCATTGGGCTGGAAAAGAGCCTGGGATCTGGGATATAACTAGAATTTGATTCTAGTAGGTGCAGAGCTTCATCCAGGGCAATTTGGTGAATGCAGTGGAGCTCTTCTTGCTCCAGGGCTGTCCCACCTGTGTCTGCAGCTCTATTTCTGCCTGGGGAACTGATGTTATATATCTCTGTTTCTTGACTTGCAGCAAGTAGCATCTCTGATTGGAGCGGATCCTCGTGAGATCATTTTTACTAGTGGTGCTACTGAATCCAACAACATAGCAATTAAGGTAAGAGAAGGGAACCAGAGGGCATATGTGGGCTTTCCTGACCTGGGAGATAGTGTCCGTCCACATCATTTGGACTCGTATATGTATTTCACAGCCACCCATCCCCACCCTATTGTGAAGAGACGGTTTACACTCTTTCTGATTTGTTGCTTCCTTTAACTCTTTGCAGTCTACTCTTAAGTCTTTCCTCCTGTTGGTCTGAGTTGAGTGAGGTAATTGGATAGCAAAGGAGGTGGCCCTCAGGCCATTAACCATTTGTCTGGCAGTTACTTCAGAGAGTGGATAATGGTGATTGAACCTTTTCTCCATTCTTTTTTTTTTTTGAGAGAGAGTCTCACTCTTGCCAGGCTGGAGTGCAGTGGCACAATCTCGGCTCACTGCAACCTCCGCCTCCCAGGTTCAAGTGATTCTCCTGCCTCAGCCTCCCGAGTAGCTGGCACTACAGGCGCCCGCCACCATGCCCAACTAATTTTTGTATTTTTAGTAGAGACGGGATTTCGCCATGTTGGCCAGGATGGTCTCAATCTCTTGACCTCATGATCCGCCTGTCTTGGCCTCCCAAAGTGCTGGGATTACAGGTGTGAGCCACCATGCCCAGCCTTTCTCCATTCTTTTTATCTAGTAACAACAAGTTACATGTGTGATTTCAAGGCTGCCCTCCTCTCAGCCTTCCTTTTTCTTTCTAATCAGATCTATTTGCAAGAAGTTCCTCCTGTTTCTTTAGATATCTCCATTTTGAAGTGCTTGTCTTTGTGGTGCCCTCCGCAGGCATTCACATGGTCTCCCATTCTGGGATCAGTCATTTTGTCCTTGGTACATAAAAGATCTTTGGTGCTAATGCAAGGAAAATGATACTTTTAGTAGTCATGTTGGTGTTTCATAGAACATAATCACATTTCACTGGGCCTGGTTGCCAGGATTACTTGAGTAAATGCCAAGGCTCTGATAAATTGTGGCCTGCTGTAGTTTGAACTCTGGCTCCACTCAGTCTCATCTTTGTCTTTGAACTGTGCTTCCAGCATTGGTTTCTTTGACCTTGGCCTGAATGTAGGAGGCCTGGGACGGGCTTCAGGGTCATCAGCACTCTGCCTGATCACGTTAGCAGGAAGACGTCTTTCCTTGGGACTGCAGAGACCACAGAGTCAGGGTGAAGGTTCCTCCAAAGATGGAGATGGTTTCTGATGGAGAGCATTTTCAAAACTTTGAAAATATTTTCTTTGGAAGTCTCCACAGATTCCAAACCTATAGGTCAAGGATCGCTAAGAGTACCTGTGATGGTGTTTCCTTTAATCTCCATAATTGATAGAGTAAAATAATCTGTAAGTTATTAAAGAAATCTACATCATGGATAACTGAGATAAAATAAGGTGTGTGGGTGGTGAAATGTCATCTAAATGAAATTTTTTAAACAACTGTAACATTTTGAACTACCATCACCATCCCACAACCTTTTTTTTTTTTTTTTTTGAGACAGAGTCTTGCTCTGTCGCCCAGGCTGGAGTGCAGGGGCATGATCTCAGCTCACTGCAAGCTCTGCCTCTTGGGTTCACGCCATTCTCCTGCCTTAGCCTCCTGAGTAGCTGGGACTACAGGCGCCTGCCACCACGCCCGGCTAATTTTTTGTATTTTTAGTAGAGATGGGGTTTCACCATGTTAACCAGGATGGTCTCGATCTCCTGACCTCATGATCCTCTTGCCTTGGCCTCCCAAAGTGCCCCGCAACCATTTTTACATTACTGATGTAAATACTTTTTGGGATAAAATAGAGTATAAATCAGTTATACATGTTTCTCATTAATGTTCTTTGTCCTCATGCACAGACCATTTTTACAAAGTTATAATTTTGGCCTATATGTTTTAATATTCTGCTTTTATTTTATTTATTTATTTTTTAACAAGCCAGAGTCTCGGCCGGGCCCAGTGGCTCACACCTATGATCCGAGCACTTTGGGAGGCTGAGATGGGCAGATCACCTGAGGTCAGGAGTTCGAGACAGGCCGACCAACATGGTAAAACCCCATCTCTACTAAAAATGCAAAAACTAGCCAGGCGTGATGGCGCACGCCTGTAATTCCAGCTACTTGTGAGGCTGAGGCAGGAAAATCCCTTGAACCCAGAAGGCGGAGGTTGCGGTGGGCTGAGATGGCGCCATTGTACTGTAGCCTGGGCAACAAGAGCGAAACTCTGTCTCAAAAAAAAAAAGAGAAAAAAGACACGGTCTTACTCTGTCACCTAGGCTGGGGTGCAGTGGCACAATCGCAACTCACTGGAGCCTTGAACTCCTGGACTCAAGCGATCCTCTCATCTTAGCCTCACAAGTAGCTAGGCTTACAGGCGTGTAGTTGCGTGCCTGGCTAATTTTGTTATTTTAATTTTTGTAGAGATGGAGGTCTCACTATGTTGCCCAGGCTGGTCTTGAACTCCTGGACTCATGTGATCCTCCTGCCTTTGCCTCCCAAAGTTCTGAGATTACTTCCTTGAGCCACTGCACCTGGCTTTGTGTTCTGCTGTTAAAGGTAATGTTCTTTTATAAGCTCTGGGGGGAGATGCACATTTTCTTTTAAGTTTTTAGTTTTTGAAAAATGATTCTGTCACATGTGGTGTGTTTTTTTAAAACCAATGGAAAAATTTTAAATGAAGTGTAGGCATTCGGTCACACCTGTAATCCTAGCACTTTGGGAGGCCGAGGCAGGCAGGTTGTCTGAGCTCTGGAGTTCGAGACCACCCTGGGCAACATGGGAAAATCCCATCTCTACTAAAAAATACAAAAAATTAGCCAGGCATGGTGGCCATAATCCCAGCTACTTGGGAGGCTGAGACACGAGAATTGCTTGAACTCGAGAGGCAGAAGGTGCAGTGAGCTGAGATCACGCCACCGCACTCCAGCCTGGGTGACAGAATGAGACCGTCTCAAAAAAATAAATAAATAAAAATAAAATAAAATAAAATGAAGTGTAAATCTTCCTCTCCTTCCCCGAGGACCCCGCTCCCTGATCCTGTTCTACAAAGTTGATACTATTAATTCTTTTTTTTTTCTTTTTCTTTTTTTTTTGTTTTTTTTTTTTAGAGGGAGTCTCGCGCTGTCGCCCAGGCTGGAATGCAGTGGCCGGATCTCAGCTCACTGCAAGCTCCGCCTCCCGGGTTTGCGCCATTCTCCTGCCCCAGCCTCCCGAGTAGCTGGGACTACAGGTGCCCGCCACCTCGCCCGGCTAGTTTTTTGTATTTTTTAGTAGAGACGGGGTTTCACCGTGTTAGCCAGGATGCTCTCGATCTCCTGACCTCGTGATCCGCCCGTCTCGGCCTCCCAAAGTGCTGGGATTACAGGCTTGAGCCACCGCGCCCGGCCTGTATTTATTTTTTGAGAAAGAGTTTTACTCTTGTTGCCCAGGCTGAAGTACAATGGCGCAACCTCGGCTCACTGCAGCCTCCGACTTCTGGGTACAAGCGATTCTCCTGCCTCAGACTCCAGAGTATCTGGGATTACAGGCATTTACTACCACACCTGGCTAATTTTTGTATTTTTTTTTAAGTAGAGACAGGGTTTCTCCATGTTGATCAGGCTGGTTTCGAACTCCCAACCTCAGGTAATCTGCCCTTCTCAGCCTCCCAAAGTGCTGGGATTTACAGATGTGAGCCACTGCACCCGGCCATTTTTGTATTTTTAGTAGAGACGGGGTTCCACCACGTTCATCAGGCTGGTCTCAAACTCCTGATCTCGTGATTGATTGCCTGCTTCAGCCTCCCAAAGTTGTGAGATTATAGGCATGAGCCACTGCACCTGGCGTCCTTTTTTTTTTTTTTTTTCTTTTTGAGACGGAGTCTCACTCCGTTGCCCAGGCTGGAGTGCAATAGCACTCTTCACTCACTGCAACCTCCGCCTCCTGGTTTCAAGTGATTCCCCTCCCTCAGCCTCCTGAGGAGTTGGGATTATAGGTGCGTGCCACTGGGCCTGGCTTATTTTTTTATTTTTAGTGGAGATGGGGTTTCTACATGTTGGCCAGGCTGGTCTCAAACTGGTGATCTCCTGACCTTAGGTGATCCGCCCGTCTCGGCCTCCCGAAGTGCTGGGATTACAGGCGTGAGGCACTGCACCTGGCCACTGTTTTTTTTTCTTAAATGAGATAAATGGTTTTTTAAATTTCTTGTAATAGTTGAAATTCCAGAAATTTTTTAATGTACCTTTATTGTTTCTTCTGATATTAACAGTAATACCTACTCATGACTTTGTTTACTGTTATATCACTGGCACCTAGAAAATTACTTGGGATACTGGAGGTGCTAAATATTGGTTGAATGAATGAATCATAAATTCCAATAATATAGAGAACTCTAAACACATTTTCACTGCTAATTTGCTGTATATTTCTCCAGATTTTTAAATACCTACATTAATCTGTATACTATTATCATTTTAATAGATTTTATTTTTTATAGCAGTTTTAGGTTCACAGCAAAATTGAAAGGAAGGTACAGAAATTTCCTATATATGCCCACCCCCAGGTATGCACAGCCTTCTGCCATTATTAGCATCTTCCATCAAGTGGTACATTTGTTCCAATTGACGACCTGGTATGGATACATCATTATCACCTAAAGTCCATAGCTTATATTAGGAATCACTGGTGTTGTACATTCTGTGGGTTTGGACAAATGTGATTTATTCTAGTGAATTACTGAACTTGAGCGGGCTTCGGGAAGCCCTGAATTTGTATTTGACTGGGCAGAAGTATGGGTAGCTTGAGACCCCTGGGACTTATGTCTGTTATCTGAACTAGGGGCAGTCTTATGTGATTGAGCCCTTAATCCATGGGGTTTTCACTAAGTCTGCAGAGTTAGCCTCAGAATTGAATTATAGGATACTCAGTTGGTATGAAAGAACTGGTGTTGGAGCATACTGTTCTTGCCCATTTTTCCTTTACAAATGATGTTGAAGTCATTGCTGTCTCTCTCAGTATGTTCTCCTTCCATCTATCACCACCAATTTCTAGGGGGTGGCCCGATTCTACAGGTCACGGAAAAAGCACTTGATCACCACCCAGACAGAACACAAATGTGTCTTGGACTCCTGCCGTTCACTGGAAGCTGAGGGCTTTCAGGTCACCTACCTCCCAGTGCAGAAGAGTGGGATCATTGACCTAAAGGTAGGAGTGGCTATTGGCAGGAGGAGCAAAAATGGAGGAACTTGGCTTCAGCTTGTAAATTTCTCTTTTGGGCCCTAGCTGGAGCTTGAAGGAATAGATCTAACAGGATGAAGTTTAGAGAAATGGGCCTGGCAGAGAATGAGATCATGTTCCCCTTGAGTGTGTACTGTCCTCCTTTTCTCTGGAGGACTTGTTTCTTTTTCTTTTTTTTCTTTTTCTTTTTTTTTTTGAGATGGAGTCTCGCTCTTTTGCCCAGGCTAGAGTGCAGCTCACTACAAGCTCCACCTCCTGGGTTCACACCATTCTCCTGTCTCAGCCTCCCAAGTAGCTGGGATTGCAGGCGCCCACCGCCATGCCCAGCTAATTTTTTGTCTTTTTAGTAGAGACGGGGTTTCACCGTGGTAGCCAGGATGGTCTCGATCTCCTGACCTCGTGATCTGCCCGCCTCAACCTCCCAAAGTGCTGGGATTACAGGCATGAGCCACAGTGCCCAGACTTCCTTTTTTTTTTCTTTTTTTTGAGGCAAAGTCTCGCCCTGTCATCCAGGCTGGATTGCAGTGGTACAATCTCGGCTTACTGTAACTTCCACCTCCTGGGTTTAAGCATTTCTCCTGCCTCAGGCTCCGAAGTAGCTGGGACTACAGGTGTGCACCACCAGGCCCAACTAATTTTTGTATTTTTAGTAGAGATGGAGTTTCTCCATGTTAACCAGGCTGGTCTTGAACTTCTGACCTCAGGTGATCCACCTGCCTCAGCCTCCCAAAGTGCTGGGATTACAGGCGTGAGCCATTGCGCCCAGCCTTGATTAGCTTTTTTCACTAATCATAAGTCTTTGGGAATTCATTCCTTGCTGCATGTGCCAGTAGTTTGTTCCTTTTGATTGATAAGTAGTAGTCCATGTTATGGATGTACCAAAATCATCTGTTGAAGGACATCTGGGTAGTTTCTGGGTTTTTGCTATTATGAATAAAGTTACTGTGAACATTTGTGTAAGATGTTTTGTGAATTTAATTTTCATTTCTCTGGGATAAATGCCCATGCGTACAGTTACTGGGTTGTATGGTAATTTCATGTTTAGTTTGATGAGCAACAGAAACTGTCAAATTCTTTTCCAAAGTGGTTGTGACATTTACATTCCCACTAACAATGTATGAACCATTCAGAGTCTGTGCATCCTCACCAACATTTTGTGTTGTCACTGTTTTTAGTTAACTATTCAGATAGGTATGTAGTGTAAGACTCCTTTTCATGACTAAGCTTGCCTATATTCTGATTTAGGAGGACTTTGTTTGCACTATCTAGTCACCTTACTCCTGCATATCCCTAGGAACTAGAGGCTGCTATCCAGCCAGATACTAGCCTGGTCTCAGTCATGACTGTGAACAATGAGATTGGAGTGAAGCAGCCCATTGCAGAAATAGGTGAGTATCATGGCTTATCCCTGATCCCTGCCAACTATGGCGGTCTGTATGACGTAGTAGACTGAGAGCTGTAATACTCTGTGGAGTGTAGTTAGGAAATCAAGTGAAAGAGAGCCTAGGTGCTTTGTTCAAGGACATTGTAAGTATCACAGGCAGTATTTGAATCTAGGTCTATTACCATTTTTTTTTTTTTTTTTTTTTTCATTGAGACAGAGTGTCACTCTGTTGCCTAGGCTGGAGTGCAGTGGTGTGATCTCAGCTCCCTGCAACCTCCACTCCCTGGGTTCAAATGATCCTCCCGCCTCAGTCTCTCAAGTAGTGGGACTACAGGTGTGCACCACTATGCCTGGCTAATTTTTGTATTTTTAGTAGAGATGGGGTTTTGCCATGTTGGCCAGACTGGTCTCGAACTCCTAACCTCAGGTGATCTGCCCTCCTTGGTGTCCTAAAGTGCTGGGATTACAGGCATGAGCCACTGCGCCCCGCCAGGTCTAGTACCTTTTATGGTTTTTAATTTTATTGCAGTTGCTGCCAAAACCAACCACAAAACAAAAAAGCGTTCTACCCTTTTTCATTTTAGAACATCTTTTTATTATCCCCACGTAGAGCTCACCCTGTAATTTCTTTAGGCACGTTAGCACAAAGATCTCTTAATCTTTTTTTTTTTTTTTTTTTTTTTAATCAAAAGGGATCTAGAAACTAATCTGACATTTTGAAAGACTGGTGTTAATGAGGTGGTAAGAATCGTATGCATGAGAGTATCAGGAGTGTTTTGATCTGGTGCTTTGCCCTTCATCTTTTTTATTCTAAAGAAGGGAAGCTACTGAGAGACAGAGGGAGGAAGGAAGAAGGGGGAGGAGAGAAGGAAAAGAAGAGGGAGAAGGGGTGGAAGGACGGAGGGGAGGAGTTTAATATTGACAGAGGTCATTTACTGTTGTTGGAGATAATTCACAGTGCATTGTGGAACAGTGACAGATGACTTTCCAACATTGTGCTGTGGGTCTTCCCCTCTGTTTCCTCAGGGCAGATTTGCAGTTCCAGAAAGGTGTATTTCCATACTGATGCAGCCCAGGCTGTTGGAAAAATCCCACTTGATGTCAATGACATGAAAATTGATCTCATGAGCATCAGTGGTCACAAAATCTACGGTCCCAAAGGTACCAGCCCCTCTAGAGTTCTTTCTGTACCTTCCAGCAAGACCTTTGATAGGTGTTTGTCAGAGTCATTTGGGACTACTATTGCTCTCAGAGGAAGTTGTACATTCAGAGTCCCTTGTAGAATGCAAATGTCATTTAGCAATAGGCAGAAACACTTGCCTGTTTGTAGACCTTAGCAGTTACTATACATCAGGCCATTCTTTCTTGCTGACTTTAACAAATCCTTAGCAAGCATGTAGATCTTAATTTGGTTGAGGAAAAAGGGGTTTTGTCAAATCAAATTTATCTAGATAAGCCCAGCTATCTTGTTTTCCCCACTATGATGTGCAGAGCAACTATTTGAGTCCTTCATTCCCAGTGTCTTGCTATAGCTCAGGGGAAGATTGCATGGGATTTGACATCTCTTTGTGTTTATTATGATTATGATTTTTTTTTTTTTTTTTTTTTGAGACGGAGTCTTGTTCAGTTGACCAGGCTGGAGTGCAGTGGTATGATCTGGGCTCACTGCAAGCTCCCTCCTGGGTTCACGCCATTCTCCTGCCTCAGCCTCCCGAGTAGCTGGGACTACAGGCGCCCACCACTACGCCTAGCTACTGTTTTTGTATTTTTAGTAGAGACAGGGTTTCACCGCATTAGCCAGGATGGTCTCGATCTCCTGACCTCGTGATCTGCCCGTCTCGGCCTCCCAAAGTGCTGGGACTATAGGCATGAGCCACCACACCCAGCTATCTTTGTGTTTATTCTTAGAACACTTCATAGTCTGTTATCCTGTTAAGTCTCTCAAGGATACTTATTTGTTCCCTATGGTCCTGTTGGAATGTGTTCAAGCTTGAGTTATGCCTCTTTCCCTTAACCCTCGGGAATAGACTGTTGTCCTCTGTTTTGTGAAGGTAACCGTAAAATATCAATATAAAATATAACTCCTTTCTCAAGTGAGGGCCTTTTTTGAGTTGATGTCTTTGCTGGTATCCCTTTTGTACCTGCAGGGTGTGTTATCTGGGTGTATACTTTGTGGAAGTAGGTATAATAGCTTCTGGAAGTATGGAAGATGGCTTCTGAGGGTTCCCAGAGGTTGTAAAGAGTGTTTTTTGTGAGCTATTATTTCAAAAAGCTCAATAAGAATTCTATCTTTTAATAAAATGTTGCTTTTATTGGCTTTTATTGTAGATAAGTCTTTTTGATAAAAACCAATGAACTCAGGCTGGATACCCTATTCTTCATCATGTGCCTATTTCACATTATATGCCTGTGTTAAAACATCTCGTGGGCTGGGCACGGTGGCTCACGCCTGTAATCCCAGCACTTTGGGAAGCCAAGGCAGGTGGATCACGAGGTCAGGAGTTCAAGACCAGCCTGATCAACATGGTGAAATCTCATCTCTACTAAAAATAAAAAAATTAGCCGGGTGTGGTGGCGTGTGCCTTTAATCCCAGCTACTCAGGAGACTGAGGCAGGAGAATCGCTTGAACCCAGGAGCCGGAGGTTGCAGTGAGCCGAGATCGCGCCACTGCCTGGGTGACAGGCAAGACTCCCTCTCAAAAACAAAAAAAAATCTCATGTACTCCATAATATATATATCTCCTATGTACTCACAAAAATTAAAAAAAAA